AGTTACTATTTTAAAGTAACTTACCCAACACTGGTTATTACTAATATTAATTACTATTAATATAAATATGCTAGCTCAAAAGAGGTCATCTGATTGTTGGGGGTTTCTGGCTATTATTGTACGGTCTTTTCCTTAGAATATAAAAAACCTTCAGGGAATTGTTGTGATTCCGCAGTATAGTAATAAAACTACATTGAACTGAACTGTTTCTGTTCAGTTTGTTCAATCGAAATGACAAGACACCCTGATATTGTTATTGAACAAAATGAGTATATCCAACTAGGCTTATGTCGATCATACTGCCCCCTTTTCACCTCCCCCTCTTCCTCCCTCCTTTTCAACTCCGCCTCCTCCTCTCCCTTTTCCCTTCATGCCCTGTCCCACCACAACTGCCAGAGCCAGTCTCCATGGTGACTCATAGACAGCTATGCTGAGGTAAAAACAAAAGACGGAAAAGCCCACAGGACTTTGCATCCAAGCAGAGAAAGAAGAAATTGAATGAGTGGGAGAATGGGATAAGGGGGAGTGAAAATAAGTGGTTTTCTCTAATCTCCAAAGGCCCTTTTGCCCACTTTTAATCTTTTGTGGGGTCGTCATTTCTCTTGCCTTGCTTCCATCTAAATCCAACCCACTGCACAGTTCAGGCTTTCGTGCAGACAAAAACACAGAGAAACAAAAACAAATGCACAACAAAACAGAAACAAGTCACAAAAAGACAAATAATAGAATGTGTGAGGCCCCTTTATTTTCCTAAATAACTCCTAACACCAATCCCAGTCCTTTATCTTCCCCTTATACAACTGCAAAGTTCTTAACTAAAAGCTCCGAAACACAGGCCCCCCACACAGAGACACAAACACCAAGCAACAGAAACAAGAGAAAGAGAAACCAAAAGACAAAGAAAAAAAGGTGGTGGTGAAGGTTTTTAGGTGACAAAACAAAAACACTTTCTAAAGATTTTTAACAGTGTAAGTGACACTCACTTGATCCTGGCATCCCAGCAGTGGCAGCCTGGGGCTGGTAGGTTCCCTCAGTGATGGCTGGCATGGGTGTGGTAGTCTGGGCGAACTGGGCCTGGGCCTAAAAAGCAATCAAACACACAGTGATTTTTAAATACTGAATTAGAGATAACTGGGCTCAAGCCAATACATAAGTATTTTACTGCTGGTAAGGAGACTGACTGAAGGATTTCTTTGCCTACAACAAATATCAATGGCTTTGGAGTGCAAAAAAAATGTTCAAACTTAATGTGGGCTGGGCTATACAGCTCAGCTTGACCTCTGCTATTCCTGCTAACTTAAAAAAGTTAAAAAGAATTATTAATTTTAAGGCTTATACCATTTTCAACAACCTTAACAGAAATTTTGACCAGGGGTTCTTAAACTTTTACACTGCCCTGAACATCTTCCGTGGCAGGCAGGTTTGATGCTGATATCACAAAGTTATTTAGCACTCAGTGATTGCGATGCCATGTGAGTGTTATATGTTTATTATTATTATGTTTTCTGTTCTCTCTGATTCAAGTACCGAGTTAAATTAAAGTCAGAGGCACAAAGGATAGGTTAAAGGTTGGTGAATATCCAAACCTCCTGAGGAGGGACAAGTTTTACAAACCATTTTATTAAATTACCTCCAAAAAGGTCCCATTCACTGCTTTAGAAGCTATGGTGACTAAAGTGAGTTTCCAAAGAGGCTCTACAACATCAGTAAGACTTCTCATTTTGAAAATGAAAACCACATTGGGAACATATTTGTATATTTTACATGACCTGTTACTTACAAAGCCAGCACCACATTTAATATAGATTCACTTCAAAACCCTTACCTTAATGACCTTGTCGACCTTAAGGTCCTCGAGTGATGGGTACAGAGACATGCTGTGGAGATAACACAAACAACTTTGAGTGGAAATAACAAGATAACAACCCAACCAGATAAGCATCACCAGCTCCAGACGAAAACTGTCTTCATGTCATCCATTACAACTCTCTAATGTAATTTCGATGCTAGTGTTTGAAACGAAGAGTAATAACACAGATTAAGAGTGAATGATGCACACAGTCAAACACTCAGAAAGCCAAAGTAAGAAACTCTGCTCTTGTGCACTTCACCACTGAGTAAAACTGTATTTCTGGCAACTTTCTGGGGCAACATGGCATGTGTGTGTGCATGGGCAATAGGAGCAAAATCCATGCTTTCTAAAATAATGAACTAAAACAACACTACAGATAGTTAGAAGCACATAAAATAGTACATAATTGCACAATAACCAGTAAGTGTCATATCATACCATTCACGGTAAAACCGTTATAATGTTGGGCAAAGATAAGAAAATGAAATATCGCGATAGAATATGGCTAAAACACACATGTGCAGTGCGTTTGTTTTCATACACACATGGCGGAAAAAGCATGGCGGCAACGGAGAATGAGAAGGGCGAAAGCGGATTGTTGAATGAAACGGATGAAGCAGAATTGGTTTGTAAAAATGCTGCAACTTCAGTGGTGTGGAACTGGTTTAGCTTTTGTCCGTCAGATACACAACAAAGCACTATTTTTGGTAGAGCATGCTAGCGGGCCGTCGTTATTACCGTGTTTTTTGGAAAATATGGCACACTTAAAATCAATCCTTTGATTTTTCTGAAAATCGACAGTGCCCCTTATAATCCCGTGTGCCTTATGTATGAATTCTGGTTATGTTTACTGACCTCGAATTGATTTTATGTGGTACATGGCGCTCGAAAATCTGTCAAATGTTTCAGTATGACTTTGCTAACCTACGAACCCGCACCGCTTGATGGATTGTCGGAGCATTACGGCTATCGTAGGCAGGAGCGTCGCGGAGTGATACGTACTGTGCTTCAATTACCGTATTGTGTGTGTATAACCTCTTTTTAAGTTTTGTGGATATTATACATGGTTATGCTGAGGATATGTCGGCCAATTTCCACTGGAAATGCCTTTTGGTTAAACTGTCAGCAAGGAATTTACATTTGCACTGTTAATTTTTATATAGCTTTAATGCACAAAAAAAACAGCTGCTTGTTTAAGTGAAAATACGTTGATGGGTTTTTTTGCACTAATAAAGTTGTGGAGATGTAAAGTATTTTGTCTAGTGTCAATTATATCGTCAGTTATATCGTTATCGCAAATTTTCAAATGTATATCGTGATAAATATTTTTGGTCATATCGCCCTGCTCTACTAACCAGCTGCTTTTCCATTGAGTCCCTCATCTTGTGGTTGGTCTCCACCTCGACACACTCAGTGAGCTTTTTACATGTTTTAAAGACTTCTTCTAGCAACTAATTCAACTGTCGCTGTATATCGAGATGAAATAAATCAAATCAAATACATTTTCTTCACCCTCAGAAAATAACTGTTTAGCAACCTCTCACTTTGTATTATCATATTGCCAAACCGTAAGCACATTAACACAGATTTAGAAATAGCATTTGGCTATTTCTAAATCTGTGTTTCTAAATCTGTGTTAGGCGGTGAATAAATCCAAGCTAAGGTGACCTTTTGTCCAGACAGTACATGGAACAGTTTTCCATATTTTAACATTAGCAGCAAAGCTCCAGAAATGAAGAACCTGGCAACGAATGGCCAGGTGAACACACAGGCACTGTCAATATATGTAAAGGACCATAGAAAAAACAAGGTCACTTATTCCAATGTGTGTCACCTAGGGACACAGTTATCTTCTTCAGTCTTGTTTTAATACTGGATGAATGAAGGTGTGCACATGTGTGTGCTGACTTTGAACTCACATTACCGTAAATGACGTATTCTGGACAAAGTAGACATGACACAAGGTATTTTGGTAGAATGTGTACAGTGCACAAAAGTAGGACAATATATAAGAAAGTCTTTTAATCATCTCCTCTGAACTGTGGTAATGATGAAGGTCTCTGCTAAGGTTCAACAACATTGCACTGAATAACACTCAGGTCTGTAAATATAAATGAGTTGTACAGAGCACATGCGGCTTGCCACACAACATAATATTGAGTCAACACAGGTGGAGGAAAAAAGACTTATGGAGAAACACATAAGCAGAGAGTATTAGCTCTCAGCATCCTACAATGGCAAAAACCATTATAATGTAACCTGGACTCCTTTGCGGTTTTAGTCTAAACAAAATTCAGGCCAGAAGACATTATCATGAACACAAACAAACAGCTGGGTGCAACAGGAAGAGGAAATGAGAGGTAGTAGACAGTCAACAGTCCAGCAGAACAGGCTAAGACATGCAGTGGCATGGTTACGCATTACAAGGAAGCATGTCTGCATCTGGTGTATGTTACTGTAGAACCTGCTCGCTCATTTGCTTTGTTATACAATAATGCTCATGTTTTCCTGTACTCTGGTGCCTGGTAATCTGACACAACAGAAAGTTCATGGATGCTTCTACAGGACAACACCTTATGTAAAAAAAAAGTTGGTTGTCCAAAGTTTATGTAAAATAAACTATAGCATCCTCTGGTAGCATGTTGACTCAGGTCCTGGCTTCAAACCAGCAGGTTTCTTTGGGTTCCCATGCTGATTCATCTCACCAGGACATTGTCACAAAACAGATTCTCAAGAGTTTCCTGCTACTTTAATTTATTTTATCTATTTGCTCAACGTTTTATCCTTATTATTTTGCAAATTGTTATGTTTGTTGTTGTTATTGCTTGTGTACAGTGTCCTTGAGTGTTTTGAAAAGCGCTTTCTTAAATAAAATGTATTGTTATTATTATTATAATTCTTCTTATTATTGTTGTCAAGAGATGTATTCTAAAACACTTCTTCAGCTGAGAATCAGAGAGGAGAAACACACAGTTTTACTTGCATGCAAGGGCAGTACAGAGCACTCGCACTGAGAGTGAGAGCTCTGAGACTCACAGCTCTGAGACTGCCCTGGTCTTTATTTATACATCAGTGGGTGTTTGTTCCTTACATTGGAATGTGGAGGTGTATATGT